CTTTATAGTGTATTTAATATTAGAGCCTGTAAGGGTCCATATATACTTGCTTAGTTCCGTGCTATTTTTATGCTTTGCGTTTCGGAATGAACGTGTATGCTTCCTATATCTGGTTTTGAACTTGTTTTCAGACAGTCCCACGTATGTTTCCTCTTTCAGGTTGTCCTCCCTAATCACAGTTGCTTGGTAGACTACTCCTTCCGTGAGACATTTGCCTGGGAGCGGGCATTCATTTTTATTGCGACGGTTGCTTCCTTCAGTGTTACTTTTAGTGTTTGTGCCGTTTGTTTTTTCATTTGCCAGTACTGATTTATTGTGTGTAGTGATGATATTGTTCATGCTAGGCATAGAACTATAGCTGAGTTTCAAAGTGTTCCTATTGAGTATTTTCCTATTGAGTATTTTCATTTACGAAAGAATCGCGTAAAAGAAACATCATATGGTTCAATCCACCATATAGAGCCAATGTCAAAACTAATATCGGACACAAATTTCTACTTCTAATAGACCAATGTTTCCCCGTCCTCTGACGTAAAGTGCCTAATCATTATCAATCAAAAAGACGCAACATAAAGGTTGAGTTCATAGCTTCGAGTATCTGCCCTGATTCATTCTCTCAACTATACACTCTCTCACACACATAGCTGCTTTCTTTCTTTCCCCATAAAATGCATTATGTTGTTCTCTATAAACGTCCGAATGTGTTACAAATTATCCACTTTTATCCACGAAAAATTAAATGAATTTTCGAGAAGGCGTTTAAAGCAAATGTGAAAAAAATAGAGTAACTAATTTCAAAAGGTAATGTTGATAATTATTATAAACAAATAACATTTAAAAAAATGTTTTGAGTTTTCGGTGTGAAAAGAGGGCTTGCCTAGTGCGTATTCTCCATAGAGATACTGTATAATAAGAATAATAATAGCTCTATGGTATTCTCGCTGAGGATACAAATTAATAGACATGCCCCCTCATGCGGTGAACTTACAATCACATGATTTTTTTTAAAGTGACCCCCTACTCTCACTTGCCCACTTGGCAGATGCGGAAGAAATCCTCAACCATAACAACAAGCAGGTTGTGTTCTACCTAAAATTTTAGCTATTCATGATACAGCTTATTTTACAATTTTTACATTTTAAATAAGATTACTAATCTCCAGCCGCCATGGATGACGGATTGGAGACCGTGTACGGAACAGACGATGGTAATCGGAACGTAATGTCAGAGAAAGTTACAGGCCTAGCGTCTGGAATATACCGAGAATTTGAACGGATGATTAAGCGATACGACGAGGATGTTGTAAAGGAACTCATGCCTCTGATCGTTAATGTATTGGAGGGCCTAGATACTGCACTGTTGCAAAATATTGAAAATGATGTCGAATTGGAACTGCTACGGGACGATAATGAGCAATTAATGACTCAATATGATCGAGAAAAACAACATCGCAAAGAGTCTGAGCAAGTGAGTTAAAACCCGACCCTGTTTTATTTAATTTAATAATATAATAGCCTAGGCCTAGGCCTAACTAATAATTACTTTTATTCTCTGAATTATTTTCACACTATCAACAATCAATCTTAATAATCTCATTACTTGTACTGGGCCTAGCTATACTAATTTGTGGTAAACCATTGTAAATAGCACTGTAAATTATATTTTATATGGCATATTTTTAAAATAATTAATAAATGTGTGTGCTGTTTTAAAAATAAGCATCCAATCCAATGTATTGCATAAAATCACTCCCCACTGTACTATTCTACATACATAAATTGTTAATAAATGGTTCACAAAGTTAACTAGACTATCCCATTGTGCATCCAACAATTATGACGAGTCCTCAAGCCCATGGAACATCAACCATAGTTCTCCAATTTCACATAATTAGGCCTATAATAATCAGTTTTGTATGTCTGATATTGATTTTGATGTTTTTTTGACAGTTTAAATGTTTTCAAATCAAATGTTATTAGTAATTTTTTAATGTATTTTTATATCTATTTACATAAATATATTATATGTATTTTAACCTGTTAGTTGCGGTTGTTATCGCTGTTGGTTATTAAGAATAACTAAATAAATAAATAATAAATATAAAAAGACCAAGTATGTAGATGAAAGCTTAAACTGACAAATGACTAGCATCTTCATATCAGAAAGAAAAGCCAGAAAGATTTTCGAACTTGACACTAAGCATAAACAGTGGGGGCTCCAGAAAATTGCCGAACCGCAGGTCCGAACTAACAGGCCGAATAGAGGTCAGGTCACGGTCCCGTAATAGAAATCCCTTGTAGGGTTTATTCGAAAAGTTTTTATGGCGTCAGTGTTGCCGAAATTGTGTTTCTACAGTACACCACAGTGTTAGTGATAGGCAATAAAAAAAAAAACATTATTCGGATAGGCAGATTTTACTTTTGGTCCGACAACTTTGCTGTGGTGCTGGGGCCTGTCCGATAGAAGTCCCTCCCTGACCCCCGGCTGGCGCCACCACTTTGCATAAGCACATTGGGTTTGTCACCTTTTCGTAGAAAACATAATAATAAAATACTATTACCATTTTGTATAGCGCCATAATATTGTTTGATTTTATTCTATATTATATACAGTAGGCATTATAAATTGACTTGTATTTTGAATTATGTCTTTATGTAAGTCAATTTAATACTTTTAAGACTTGTTATGAGGATTGAACATTATTATTATTATTATTATTTTATTATTATGTTGTAATGATGTTGTTTGTACTGTTTTTAAATTTTATTAAAATAGAGGGCCCCTGGATTGAATATCAGTTAACCTACTGGGCTAAACTGGAATCGTTACCCTCTTTAAAGATGGTTGAAATAAATAAATATCCACAAGAATGCCCTAATGGCTCTGTCTCAAGTCAAAAGATAAAGCGTGAAGAAAAAAGAATTGTTTCAAGTATTTAAAGAATGAAAGGGATCTCATAGGCCAAATGGAGTGTAGAAGGTCATTCAAAAATCTTTAGAAAAGTGCAAGAGAACTACATGGTCTACCATATTCAACAACATCAGCCTCTGTATCCAGCTACCAAGGCCTATTGTTCTGTCCATTTAACACTAACTTGTCCCAAGCTCAAGACATTGGAACTAGCTATTGTTGATCCATTTAACAGCTATTGTAACTCTGAACCAATCAACAGTAGGCTCCACCCTTTGCGTTATATACTGTACCACCTAAGGCCAAGTAAAAAAATAAAGTAGTTACTCGTCCTAATATTTTGAAAAAGGGAGAAAGAGGGCACTGACTTTAAAGAAAATCAGTTAGCTGACTTCATTATCGTAATAAGCAGTAGCACCATCATTTGTCAATCAGGTTATCACCATCAAGTTATTATTATCAGTCATCATAATTATCGCAACCATTATCAATCGTTGTCATCATCATATCAATTGTTATTACCGTCGTCATTTACAATCATAATACGTGTTGAAATGTTGATTGTCCTGCATATTGAAAACTTTATTTAGTCCGAAATTGAAGTTTGTAGCATTAGCAAAGCTCATAAAAATTAGAGTAGAGTATAAACTGTAAGTAACAAGAAATCCCTTACCATTGCACCAAATATTATATGAATATGACGCATTTCTGCTGTTTGTTTTCTGATTCTAAATTGCAACATTGCTCGCTTTAGAAAACTTTCAACATTAGAAAGTCACTCAAGGAAGTTACTCAAATATGTCCTTGTGCTAACTAAGATCCTCAGAAGCATTTCTGCAACTCATCATACAAAACTCAGCAGAGGTTTCTCTTTAAATGCTAAAAGCTGATCATTGTTATTATTTTTTATATTGCTATTATTACGACATGTTAGAATTGTTGATGTGATCCCTAAAGCTGTGTTAGTTCTATTATCATCTTGTGGTGATCATGTGGTTACATTGTACTTGTACTATGTTTGATTAAAGACTATTATGGTGTACAATTGTGAACCACTGTATGTGGCAAAGACAAGCCAAACCAGTCACTCGTCACAAGAATCTTTAGTTATTAATGCAGGGTTAAACATTAAGATGAGCGCTGTAAAATGGTAAAAAAAAATCATTTAAATCCGACTTTTCCTTATGAAGTTACAAGCATTCAAACATAGAGTATAGAGCTGTTTAAAGAAAAATATTTGAGAAATCGGCCTTCAAAGTTTATGATTTCAGGCATTTCTCAGGAGAGACCATCACCAAATCATTAAAAAATGTTGTTTTAACATTGAAAATGGGAAAAATAACAGCATGGCATGATGTATATATAAAGGTTAGTTTAGTGCTATAAAATATATTTCAAAAATGTTGGCATTCCAGCATGTTTTGACCATTATCTCTGAAACATGAATTGCGACGAGTGACTGGTTTGGCTTGACTTTGCCACATATTTAAAAGCCAAACAATAAAATATTAAATTATTATTAATATGTCTGTGTAATCAATTTTTTAATTAGGGGTTTCTGTATAATATGGCACTTTTTATGATTGCTACTTGATATGAACTTTAGAATTTGGCCTATAGCTAGAGTATACACCATTTTTGCTAATTTTAAATGAAAATTTACGATAACTTGTCAACTACCCTTGGGGACTTCTAGAGACCTACTAGGCATTTTTTGCTACGTAGTTACCAGTGTGAGCTAGCTGCTCAGGCTAGGCTAGGCCGCTGTATGTCCCCCCGTGAAAAGTTGCAAGACGTTGGTAGCGCTGTTTCAAAATAGACCCGATAAAATGGTGTATTGTTTTTGCAACGGTAATAAGAAGTTAGAACAATATTAAATTATCTTCTTGTGTATTTATGTAATTGAAAATTATTCAATTTTTTAATACTGATATCGAAGCTTTACCATGTTAGTATTTTTTAGGGTATATTCAAATTTTAATCAAACTGTTTTAATTTGGTCATCATACCAATGAAATGATATTTTTTTAGTTCAAATCTAAATATCTTTAGTTAGTACATAGAATAAATTTCCATTTTATAAAAATTCAAATTTTATCAATTTTCTAACAAGCATTTCTAACAACATTAAAATAAACTATGGTATACAATTAAAAATTACAAAAAAGATGACTATTAATATTACTTACCATTATTATTACAATTATTACCATTCTTATCATCACCATTATCATTATTAGAAGGAAGAATACAAGAACTTACAACTCTAATCAGCAAAAAAAAAATTACAAAAATAAATCAAAATTGTTATATAAACCCCCCCCCCAACACAAACAAATTATAGTTTAAGAATATGGAATTGTTCACAGAAAAAATTTATGGTCAATTCACCGTTTGACATTTAAAGTCAAGGAGATTTTCAATCAGAGACAATCAGTGTACACTAATAATAATAATAATAATAATAATAATAATATTAATAATAATAATAGTAATAATAATACCTCACACTCATATACTCTACCTCGTATTGATGTTATTACTGCTCTTAACTTATGCAAATTTAGTCAGTTTGATAACAGTAACTAACTAAATTTCCTACTGATGTTTGAGATTTGTGTTTACAGCTGCAACAAGCTTCAAACCTATTAATTATTGTTATGATTTTTGTGTGTGTGAGTATTTGAAGAGCTTTAATTGACTGCATGATTCATTAATTATTTATGTTAATGAGTTATTCCTGTTCATGTCTCATTTTAAAATTGGTTGATCACCTTGGGATAAAGATTTCATTCATTCATTCATTCAAGGTTTATTCCAAAATGCGTCGCAGTTGAAAACTGAATTACAACAAATGGTTACAATATAAAATTATTAAAATTTACAAATATAAAAACATTAGCAATATAGGTCTATTTACAAATATTTGAAACATAGAAAAACAACAATTCATCAAGATCAATATATAAAAACGATTGAAAAATTAACGCAGGAAACCTAGAAACCCAATATGCAGTACTTATCATCATTATCATCATCATAAAAATTATCTTTATTATAATTATTATTATTATTATTATTATTGTTATTTATTTAATTATTATTTATTATTATTAAGAGCATTGACAAGGTAAGGAATGGGGCTATTTTTGTAACGCAAGGTGTCAAAAGGTGGGCAGGTAAGATTTAATGCTTCAGTTCCAGAAATTGTTTTAATTGACGAAAACGAATTATCAAATTTTTTTTTTTTGAGAAGGGTAAAGTGTACAAACGTAGGCCCTATGTTGTCGAACAAATTAAGGAGATAAAATACCTCTTATAATATGCGCTCAGAATGCTTATTTATAAGCAACTTTAAATGGCTTAGAACCCACTGGCTCTGTCGGAAATTGTCTGACCAATGTCAAACCATTTGCTGTACCCCTATCTTTTCTTTCCACACCAAATTTCCCAATGAACAAGTATTTAAAGAATATTACATATCAAAATAAAAAAATATTTTACAGGTAGATGACAATTGAAAAATTTAGCATACTATTTTTTAAGGAAAAAAAAAAAAAATGTGTCGAAATATCAAACTTTGTGGAAATTACTTACTTTTATTGATTATTTTGTTTTGTTTCAGAAATTACTTGAATATGAAGATACTAATGATCAAGAGAGAAGGAGTCTTCAAAATAGATTGGAAAGTTTAGAAAGTAGTCAAAAACATTCTCAACTCAAACTGAAAAATTTGACAGATCAGAGTAAGTAAATTAATATTACATCATCCATATTGATAATATAAATTTTGATCAATATCTTTTATGATGATGATTTATGAAAATTTTTGATGTCCTTTACTTTTTATAGTCAGTCGACATGAGGAGCGTGAAGGTGAATTGAAGAAGGATTATAATATTCTACAAAAGAGACATAATGAGGTAGGTGCTGTTTACTTTTCATTAAGCTTATTGCACACTGCACCAATAGTTATATGTTTTCGCGATTCCTTAAGGAACGCAAAAAGTGACAATGTGTATGGAACATTTTTGATAACAATCTGTCAAGTGTGCCTTTGAAAAACTGTGGACTACTTCTTGAGTCACTACTATGATCTTGCTTACGTAGTGTGGTAGAAGGATTCGCAGGTAAGATACCTGACATGGGCTGCGACGTAAACGCTCCTTCTGTGGCCTGGACAGGGGGGCTGAAATGGGCCAGTGCACCGGGGTAACCCCATACTCTTCTTGAGGGATGTACTGGGTTCTGGGTGCACATGAACCAATTGTGTACACTGGACCCACCTGACTGGACCTACGGTTTAGATTACTTAACCCAAGAGACCACCACCAGAACCATAGGCGAGCCTGCCGTTTGGACTGCTCTTACCTTATAATTTGCACCTACATCGATGACCATCCTGGGACTATTTTTAAAGTACAACAGATTAGATGTTTGTCTCTCACGAGGTTTGTTTACAGCAGGTCACGTATCATATAGTGGGTATTACTAGTGTATGGTGAACGTACAGTGCGATCAGTGTAAAAGTATAGGAAAGGGTAATTTTGTGGTTTTGAAAACATTCGCCCATCATTAACGTGAGAGATAACAGGCTAGGAAAGGCACTACGATGGTTCAATATGCTTTGTGTGCTTTTGAATTTGTGTGATCCTTCGTAAAGCTGGCATTGTAATCATAGCGTGTTGAAATCGGAGGTTGCGGATGAAGGACTCAGTGTTAGCAAACCATTTATGGTGGAACTTGATGTCAATTTCCAATGAATTTTTTATAGTTACTGGTATTCCAACGAACATTATTCAACATCAAATATGTGTTTTACAGCACAAATACTCCGAAGAAGATACACATTTCCCTATCACCGGGTGTGTCTGACTATTCATATTATTCATACTGCTATCTTCTATAGAATCTTAATAGCTGAATGTAATAAGTCTATTCTTAACTTGTTTTGTGGCGTCAGTGCTAGAGGCAACCAACAGCCGTAATTTCCAAAGATTGTGCTTCCGAAATCTCTTGATAGCGATTCCGCCCAGAAGTCCCGAAGGACCTCTGAGTACCATTCGGTAAAAGCCCTTTTTAATCAAGATGTTTGTGAACATAGTTTATATATTAATGAAGTTTTCACATAATCTTGGTGTTGAATTTATGAGTTCACAAAAGTTTTAATATTTTTAATATTGTAGTACTTAGAATTGCTGGTACAATTCATTATACAATTCTTAAATAACATAATAATTTGTATAACATATTGTTCATTAAATTTTCAAATAAAATTATTTAAAAGTCTTTCATTCACTCCCTTATGAATTCATTTTTATTCATTCATTATTTTTTTCAATTATCCATTTATTCATCTTTTATTTTCATTTATCCACAATCAATCAATTAATCACGTATTCCTTATTCAGTAAATCAATCATTCATTAAATTACTTTGTAATTTATTCCCTATTAATCAATCAATCATTTATTCCTTATGTATCTTCTATTTTAATTTATTCACTGAAAACATAGACTCTGTTGACCCAGTGGGGAAACACTAATAAAAACATTAATTACAGCAGTTACTTTACTGATAATTTCTTTTAACTAATTAGTGACTATCGAGGAATTCTGTCCTTGGCAAGTACAGTAACTACTGAGCTTTCGCAAATGCAGCACGAATGTACTCTAGGACTAAAAGCAATGAACAGTGACCGTCCTTGATACTCGCCTGCAGTTTGATCATTCGCAGTAGTGTGTGACGTGGTTAAGCCGACACACGTCCTCTTTTTTAGGTATCCCTAAAGAGTGCTGGTTGGCTGCTTGAGTTAGTCGTTCGTGATTCTCCACGGACGATAAATTGGCCAAACACAGTTCGTGATTTTGCCACCAACGAGAAGCTACGGGGGTGGGTGGGTCGTGCATGCGCAGATATATTTTCGTGTCAGATCACCGTCCTTGAGTCCGTCCGTCGTTGATGCAAAAGCTCACTAACATCCCGAACACAAACCTTGCACATAATTTCCTTGTATTTTCTAAAGTTCAAAAACAGATATTATTCAATGATGAGTAACAATGTGACTAATTAGTGACTAATGGGTGCTCTAATTACTCTAAGATAAATACTAATTGTTAAAATCTGGCCTTGGCAATTGGATGTTGTGAAGTGATATCACTGGGCGTCTACAGAAAGCTACTGGAGACTAAATGAAATTTGACTTGAATGACTTCAATTTTTATTTGCATTTGTACTCATTATTGAAAGACAAAAAAAAAACAAAACAACAAATTCTTGTGTTGGCCATGTTTTGAGAGAATAAAAAAAATATAGATAGTTCAGTAGGAAAAGTTTTTTTTTTCTTTTTTTAACCAATAATGTGTTTATGCCTAAAAATTATTAAATAGTAAATACACAATAAGTACAAAAAAGATCATTACACTGTCGCATTGCCTATTCCAGCCTTTTTAGCTCATTAAAAAAATATTTTTTGTAGTAGTGAAAAAAAAACAAACAATGAACTAAAATGCCAAACTCAATTCCGTACATTTTTTTCAGGCGTGGCCAACGCAATCATTTTTTTTTTATGTGGACTTACATTAATTTTATTTAAATTATTGAAAATTGAGCTTTATAAATTATCAAAAAGTATTTAAAATCATATAATTAATTAAATTGATATCAAACTTCAAATCATTTTCAAAGATTTTCATTCGACAAAATATCTCTACAGTAACTTTAAATGTAGATTTTATCAATACAATAATTTTTAAGACCCTAACTATCCTCTTTTAGGAAGGAAAAAAGCAAAAATTGAAGAATAAAATTTGATGATAAGTAGAAGCGTGTGGCACAGCGTGATCTTAAGATTGGGAGTTTGAGATCGGCACTCGTCGCATTTCTTGTGTCCTTGGGCAAAGGCACTTTACGTTTGCCTCTCTCCACCCAGGAGTATTATATGGGTACCTGGTAGGATGTTGTGGTATTGAACGTATGTGCTTTTGCGTATGAAGCAGCATGACTAGGGATACTCCCCAGGGGGATACTCCCCAGGGAGCAGAGAATGTTGTTGGCTTGCCAACTAAGTATCCATTGACTAGGGAAATTACTGATGCCAATGCCTTTGTATATTCTCCAGAGTATGAAAGGCACAGTATAAATTTGAATAATAAAAAAAAAAATAAATTGCACTTAGAGTTGGTGTATTCACCAGAGATTTAAGAAGCAAAATACCACATAGCATTTCTGACGAACATTGCAGACCATCAAGTCTGTCCGTGAGGGCTCTCTGACACGACCGACCAATCAGCATTATAAAAAGATATCGGTGATAGTGTACAGTGATTTTATAGAATCCGAGTTTATTAGACTTTCCAATACATTAAAAAAAAATGCTGTAAATAGCCTCAAAAAGCATTTAAAATATATATAATGATGAATACATTTTGTAGCATTATGTATGAAGTCTGTAAATGTTACACTCACCACTGCAATGCATTGTGGAACTAAAAATAGAATAATGGAGTAATTCCTTGTTAGCCGACCCAACATGCTACAATTCATGTACCTACAGTAAGGCTTCTTAAGTACTTTTCTTCATCAATTTAGCTGTCATCTTAGCGAAATGTCATTCTAGTTATTGCCATATGGAACAAACTTGCATTGCTCTCAAGTCTTAGGCATTGGGCTGGCTAAAACATGTTAAATATTACTCTGTATATGGCCTACTGTACTCTAATTCTATCCATTATTTCTCTAGTGTAAATACAAAAAAAAAAATTCATTAATAGCTTTGTCCCAACCCATTCTTAACCTTATTATTGACTACAGGTCAACCAGAGAAACATACATTTTCTCATCTACTTCCAGTGAATAAGATTGCAAATGACATGGTACTGTAAGTATATAATAGTACCAATAATATATTAATATAAATAAATTGACACAGTCCTCAGGGAAATGAGAGGTCAGTCCCAATCTTGGTGCTTATGCTTTTAATTCAAATTAACAATATGACCCAAAAAAGTGGTACCAAAAAATAATAAAACAGGATAAGACAAAAAATACTAAGTGAATGAACTCAGATATACTAACCCAAGTTGAAAATTTTGAGGGTCCTCAATACAAAGAGAAAACATAAAAAATTACAGATTAGGACAAATAAGATTAATTGCTAGTTTTATTTCCCCACCCGCATCATATTTTGGAGCCTCATGAAAAATTTGCTATTTGTTGTTTTTCAAAAAAACAATCTTTTTTTTTTTTTTTTTGGAAAAAAAAAATAATGATGGTCTTGAACATTATCAAAACCTAAAAAGAAATGGAAACATAAATAATAGCAGTGACATAACACCATTTAACATCTTTTATAAAAAAGAAAAAAATGTTATTATATTTATTTATAGCCTTGTTTACCTCCAGTACAGTATGTAGGATAGCAAATAGGAAATAAGCTCACCAAAAAATAATTTCAAATCCAGGACATGAATCTAATAAATTAATTTTATTTGACCTAAAGAACCCTTAACAAACAAAAGACAGAAAATCACAGATTGAAATATTTATACAGAGGTTTACAATGGGAGATTTCCAGGTAAATGCAATATAACGTGAGGCTTGAGGTTCAAAGTGTTGCAGATTCGTTTAATTTGGGAAGATTGCGAATTCCAATCCCTCTTGCTGATTGTTAAAGAAACGTATTATTAAACGTGTCAGGGGGAGCTCTGAAATTTGTAACATAATCTACAATGTCCATGCGTATAGTAATCACAGATTAGTTCCAACTTAGCAAGATAATTCAAAACATGTTTTGCTGTTGTAGTGTAAGTTCTTGACAAATACCATGAAGTGTAGGCCCTACTGTAGCTAAGTCTAATAGAAAATAATTACACCAACCCAAGCATTTTCTATGCCTTCCAGCAGTGGCATTAGCATTTCCGCGACAAGTGAACCAGTGGCTTTTCGTTTCCGAAAGGTGGGCTACAAATGCCATTGTGAGAATAAGAATAATTGCTAATTTAAAGGAAATAATTGAAGAAACGAGTAAAGAAAACCCTTTTAAACATGTACTTTACCTCACCGTTTTTTGTGTTTCTGATTCTTTATTTAAAGCCATAGCTCTAAGACACAGAAAGCATATTTGACAAAAAACTTGGGAGCAGGTAATGAGATACAGAATATTTACTGGGAAAAAAAGGGGATATAATCACCTTTTTGTTCACCGTTTACCCCCAGTTTTTAAATATTCAAAAATCTATATCTCATTAAACACTACTGAGTTTTTCGTCAAATATGTTTTTTGTGTCATATAAAAATCAATTGTACAAAACATACCAAAAATTTGTTTTGCTTCAGAGGCTGGCTTTCAAACAATGCTAATGAGATAAAATTATATATGAAGTGAATATTTCAAGACCCTGGTGAATTTTGGAATTATTCATATTGATGTGAAATATGATAAATGGATTGCTATATTGCTAGCAATAATATGTAATTTCCTTTTCATTGATGGTTTTCTTAATTTTTCATCACTGTGATTAACCTTCCATTGTGTTTTATTTAAATTAATGTATGTAACCGATTTTCTGCCATCTGGTAAATTTTGATTTTTTGTTAATTTTGCAGATGTTACAGAATTACGCTGAGAATATAGAGAAATTGAAGCAGGCGACACAGTTCGGGGATCCAGTTGCAGCCAGCCCAAGGTTATTCAAGTACGTACTGACTTTCGAGAAGAGGAGATTAGAATGAGTGATGATGTCAGTAGATATGACAGGAATATTGTTTGTGGGGTATGAGTAATGTCTGTGGGTATGTCAAAAATAATGTCTGACGACAGGTATTGTCTGTGTGTATGACAGGAGTAATGAGTCTGGATTTGATAAAGTAATATTTTTGGGTGTGGCGGGGTGAATTTTTTGTTGTTATGATGGGTATTATCTGTGTGTATGTGACTCTGGATTTGATAAAAGTAAGGTTTGTGGGTGTGACAGGGATAACTTTTTTGTCGTTATGACGGGTATTGCTTGTGTGTAGGATAGGAGTTATGACTCTGGATTTGGTACAAGTAATGTTTGTGGGTGTGGCAGGGATAATGTTTGTCCTTATGACACAGGTTTTATCATAATGTATGATGAGTAATGACTAAGTATGATTGATACAAAAATTGTTTGTGGGTATGGCAGATGTAAAGCAAGTTGTTATGGAAGGGGTTAATGTTAACGGGTATGTCATTTCAGGAATAATACTTCTTGGTATCTTAGTGTGTCTGTGGGTTTGACTGTCTGGTAATATGGGTGTGGTATGAATAAGTATTTGTTGGTGTGGCAGATATCATGTCTGGGTGTGGTATGAGAATGTGTGTGGATATGACAGTAGGGAAATCTGGGTGTGGTATTGTAATTTATGTGGGTATGTATGAGTAATTTATGTGGGTATGACAGGTGTAATATCTGGGTGTGTTATGAATAATGTTTGTGGTTATGTATAGGTCATTTTTGTGGTTATGTCATAGTGCCTGTGGGTAAGGTATGAGTAATATTTCTGGGTATATGACATGAATGTCTGTTGACAGGTTATTAAGAATAGAAGTATGTCATACAAGACTTAGGTTAACAGCATAAACAACATTTATAAATAGAAATGATTTGTTAAAAGACCTTGTAAGTTTGAATAAACATCATTTTTTCAACATTCATATCATTTACAGTATGTCCTAGATATGCAACATTAATGTTATTGTTGTCCATATGTTCAGCTTAGCTTCAAAGAATATGCTGATACCGGTGTCCACGATACAGTACATTAATTTGTAACTGACATTCCCTTAGAGTACCTCTGTGGCCATTCCTACCTACAGTGTATAATTATCTCACGCAAGAAATAATAGGCTATGAATATGCAGAATTTAGTTGTTATATAATCTACTAAAATATATTTTCAAGATTTGAAAATGTGTATTAGTCACATTAAAATATTACATTAGTAGTAAAACACTATGGATACAAAATTCAAAATGTTTAAGATTGTTTTTTTATTATTAATATTAATAATTAATTGTCATTGATATTATAAACTTCATTGCTCTGATTTTTTTTAATCATTTCTGTTGCTCTGTTTTATATGCAAATATGTATTCAATAATTAGTTATTATATTTTAATGTCAAAATTTAAGAATTTAAAAAATTGTATTTATACAGTGATAATTGAATACCAGCCAATTTAAAGGGCAATACAATTAATTATTTTATACTTTGTAAACTTTAGTAATATATGTTGTTTTTCAATTCAGAACTAAACTTAAATGAAGTAACCAAGTCAAATATTAAATTGTATATCTTGCATTACATTAGGCCTAATAAATATGCATGTTATTGATTATGAATATGCATGTAATTTACAAAGTAAGCCGTTCGGATATTAAACTTTATTTTTCAAGTATATTAGCTCACAAACGATAAAGTACCTTTAATATTTGCTGTGACTAAAATTTTGATGGAAAATTTTTTTACTTCTTTACAATAAGCCTCCATAATATCCCAAAAAAATATGATAAATAGTTGTTGATGTACATCATCAGATGTAGGTTAATGTTGTAATTTAGTCATAAGCTTATAGATGCTTCTATTTAAATTACATCCAACTGACTAGGAACCGACTGTAAATGACAGAGATGTTGAAGAGGTATTCTCCATATACCATACCGCTGATCACAATTAGGGATTAACTTATATTGGAGCGGCTAAGACTATTTTGAAGTCTGAAAATTGCATAACTGAAGTTCGAGAATAATTGATTATACTATAAATTAACAATTAAATGAAGTTGGAACATAATAAATAGAAGTCTTGTCCAAATAGTAATATGGTAAAAATTTCATAATAATCCGTAATGATGATGATAATAATAGTTAGGGATGAACTCAGAAAATCTGAATTTTCCTAACATTAACTCATAATTTTTAGAATGATACAATATGAAAAGATGTTAAAGAAATCAATGAAAACTGTGAATGATAAACACAACCCTTTTAATGATAATTATCACATTTAGATTTGAGCTAAGAAAATCTGAAAGTTACATGACATTTGCTCCTTATGAATATGGATGATATGACATCATCATGGTCATGCATTTCAGTAAAACACAGATATTTATCACAGAAAATTTGGTAGTACTATATGAATAGAGATTTAGATTAGCCTTAACAACACAATAAAATTGGCATTTAGTGTGTTTGTTTCCTGTATTTTTTTCTTAATAAACTTAATAATCTTAAAATTCATATTTTTAAATGTACATTGCACAATGAAATATCCATTGGAAATACAAAAATATAAATTTTTGTGACATTGATTCCCAATCCTTTTTTTGACTGGGGTACATGTTTACAAGACTTCCTAAAATCTGACAATAAGAATTAGAAATTCATTTGGGAATTCACATGTTGTTCATTCAGGAAATCAGACATGTTTGTTTTCATTTATTATCTGGTGGCCAAAACTTTTAAAAACTCCCCCAGGGTTTTAACTTGTTAAAAGATAAGCTGACCTAGATAATGGATATCTTTACAATACAACAAATGCTAAACATTCCAACCATACTTTGACACAATGAACCTAAAGAATTATCTTCGAAGATGCAGCCTATTTCAGACCGTCCCTTAATTATATACCCATATTCATACCTAACCAAGGAATATGTATATTGATCGTTGGCGTTAATAATGTCAAAATTGTAATAATGATTATTTCGAATCAATAGGGCAGGAGAGAATAATAATGTGGTGAGGGGAAAATTACATCTAATTTTGTTATTAAATTCTTTTCAAAATGAACATAAAATTGTCACCTATCCATATAACAAAATATATTTTTTTAAATAAAATCATATCTCAGTGTAGTAATTAATATTATATTTAATAAATTAGGATGATAAGAATACCATTTCAAGTCCACTAAATCATTATTGAACATTGTACTGTTTAAGATTATTAAATGTAGTGATGATGGTTGATAAAAGAGGATGATTTCTGGGGGATTGAGAGGTTGTGGTAATGCTTTAGTGATCAGTACTTATCTTTAACCTTGATAATTCAAGATGATGATTATGATGGATATGTTTGAATTAATGAGATAAATTTTGATTTTTAATATTGTAAAAGATTTTGATTTAGCTCATGAATATTAATTAATATACTTATAAATATTCATAACTTTGTAGAGTTTAATTACTATTTTGCTCCCTCTAAGTTTAGTAATTGCTAACATGCTAATTAACTGACTTGAAATTGACTAATTGACCAAACTATACTACCAGATCTTTATAAACCATTAGCTCCATTGTCTAGTCAATAGCTAGATGCTAACAACTCTTCAGATGAGCTATTGAACAGCATAGTTTAATCCAGTATTAAACAGTATCACTAAACATGCAAATCGTTGCATGTAAAAGTAACTCAAACTTCAGTTTGAAAAAATAGCACTACTTGAAAGCATGTTCCTTCTAATGTCATCCCTCCCCTGCTCTTTTATTTGTCTAACTATAAATCTTATCCATTCTCAATATTCCCCCCTCCTCTTTTTTTTTTCTTTCAGATTTCTATCTTTTGTTTGCTTGACAAGTTAATTTTCCTTATTAAACTGGTTTGTTATAATAAATGTATGATGCAAATGAGAATTATAGCATAAATTAATAAAATATAAACTGCAATAATTATAGCTATATTTGTTTTTATGTTAAATTTAAAATATTGTTTATTATGTTGCATTGCTTTCTTTGTTTTGATTTTCCTAACCATATTTATTAATATTCATTTCTATATTTTGGGGTTTCATGTTTTTCTTTTTATTCACAACTGTCTGTTTTTTCATCATTGGTACTGGTATTTCAATTTGTTGTCACTTGTGTTGGCATTGTTTCTTCTGTGTTAATAATTCTCTCCTGCTTTACACAACACCTATTCAGTTACACCTGCAGCGGTGTATTTAAATCACTCAAGTATATGTAAATACACAGTTGTTTCCTGTATCAGTTTGAGTGCAAGATTTTCACCACCGTCATAATCATAATGATAATTATAACAAAATCATAATTATTAACAATAACAATAATAGTAGTGTTATAATGAAGTTGATTGTATTTTGATACATAAATAATAATTATTATTACATCACAATTAACTTAATAATAATAATAATAGTAATAATAATAATTTTACACTGGTATAGCGCATAATACAAGAAAAAGCTTCCATACGCTTCACATTATAAAAAATATAAACAAATGAAATATAATATAATATAATTCAACACCATTGTCTCGGTCTGATTTACTGTCGCAATATATCACTGTACACTCACAAGCTAAGGGGCAAAAAACAAATAAAATATTATATAACATAATTATAATTATAATGGTTATTATAATAATTAATATTAATTATTATTATACTTATATATAATTAATAATTAAGTATTAATGTTGTTAAATATCAATGTTTTATTATCAATATTCCTCATTCCAGCTACAAAACACGTCCGCATGATCAATCAGAGGGAGTGATTTCAGTAGCTAGAACAGCCCATGATAAAGCTGTCATCACATCCATCCTCTCAGGTCCTCATTTGCATAATATTTCTTGACTTAGCACATCTGTACATGTTCAGATTAATGCATTAATATCCCATCGCTGACATATATATCACCATGGCAACAGATTGATTTCATATTATAACAAATAAATCACAAACTCTGTGTGTAACATTTTTATCATTTAGTCAAACCAAAGAAGCACCGTCGAAATATGCCACTCCAATCCCTTCCATTGAATTTTAAAATGAGACTAACCTATTTATAGTAAATGTGTTGAACTTGTTTACTCTAAAAGGTCGAGGTCATATTTGAACATAGGCAATGCATTAACATTCTTACTTGCAAAAATGCAGTACAATGTTTTAGCAATTAGTGAATATTGGAGATTTTCCTATTAATAGAATCAGGCTCTGAAGTATTACTAGGCTTATTTCTAATAGCGTAACAAATGTCCCTTAACATATATAGAGGCCGTAATTCTCTACATTTAAACCTTCATTTAATTTCATGCATGCAAACTACTGTACAGATTAAGTATAGAATATCTGGCTATAGCGCAGGATTAATATGGTATGATGTTACTAGCATTATTGTGGTTTAGTAACAATGTTACAATAATCTTGCCTGGCAATTGAAGACAAATGCTTGTATTCTTGAACATACGTTAGTTCTAGTTAAAAATTTAATTGGATTTCTACCTCTGAACTGTCAAGGAATCATTAAAATGGCATTGTTTGAATGCTGGTTGGTCATTTTTTTACCCAAGGTCAGCGCGAGACCCCCGTATCGTTTAATGCCCGGCTTTAAAACACGGTGGCACGCCAGGCCTAGTTACTATAGTAACACAGCCCCGCTTGAGATAAGTTTAAACTGGCAGGTGGATAAACCCGGTGAGTTGAGCCGGGTTTATCCACCTATACTAGTCTGAACTAGGCCTATGAATGAATAACTAGAGCATTCTGATTTTGGCAGAATGACTTAATAATTTTTAAGGGGACTAACAGTGTTAAAAAGCACTTTGAGGTTCTGGGCATGCAATATGATATAATTAAAATATTGTTATTAATGCTATTTTTATTATTATCATTATTGTTATAATGGTTATAATGGTTTATATTGTTTGTTACTGTTAATTTTGTATTGTCTTTGTTACTAATTAATAATATTTTTATTATTATGGCGTATAAGACAAGGCTTAAAATAGCAAATTACGATCTGTTTGATTTTTAAATTAACATGTTCATCTTATGTGTGGATCGTCTGTAACACGTTCTACTACGGAATTGAATCTACTAACTGTTAGTATGAACGCAATTGTAAATGCGGGGAAATAAGATTTTGATGAACATATAAAAGCCCATAAAATGGTATTATTTGAAGATTGGCCCAACGTTTGGCTCTGTTGTTAGCCAGCTAAATGTGGTATATTTCTTCCTAATTATATAATTTAAAGCATCTAACCATCCCATTACTACACTGTTACATTTACCAATAAAATTCTATTTTTATTTTCTCCTCTGTCTAGATAATTTTGGCAAAACTATTTGCTAAATAAGAAAACAAAACTTTATTTTTATTATTTTCTTATTTAAGTTTGCATTACAAGGGGAAAAAAATGAGTCTTGCCTTATCGTAAACAAAATTGCAATTCCTTTAAAAAAAAAACGGAGTTTACTCATTTGAATTTAGAAATCCCTTCTCTGAGCCCAAGGAATTTCTTTATATTAACCATTAATATATTTCAGATATTTTATTCTGTTAATATTTATATAAAGATATTAAGTATTTACTGTATAATTGGCTTAGAAAAATTGAATTTGGATTCTCCCATAGCAAATGTTGGTAGGATTTTTGTACACTAGGCTTAAGTGAAATGAGACTCACAGGAATGACTGTACAGATTAATGTAAGATATTCACATCCAGATAATGCTGACAAGTAGGCCAGAAACACAACCTAGCGTAAATTTAAAACACTGGAGATTTAGTACTGTTTAAGACTATTTTAATTGAAACACTAGCTTTGGATACACAGTGCTCTTACCGGTATGTGCTTGAAGGCTAGTGTATATCCATCAAACTAGTCTTAAAACTAAAATAAGTAAAATCTTTATGATTCTAAACAATTGTGGCACCACTCATTTTACTTCATCAAGCTAACATTTTTTTTACAGGTGTCTCATTCCATTTTTATTTTTGGTGGTGGGGGGGAGGGGGATGTAAAAGGCGGTAGAAGAACCACTTTTTCTTCGCAAAGCAAATCACCATACAAAATCCAGCTAAAAATGTATACCCGTATGTCCTCTGATATAATGAGTGTGTTATACAAGTGTCTGTGTCTTATCAGGAAAAAGGGGCTGCACACAAGAAACACAATTTTTTTTTAGTTGGCCTAAGATTGTAGTTTGTTATTGAAAATTTTGCATTACCAAATGTAACTAAAAACCTGATGAGCAATATCTGACTCAATTAGCATATAGATCCCACCAGCTAATGAGTCACAAATCTGATGAGCCCTTTAATGCCACAGGTGCTAAGTTGGCTTGTTTTTCCTTAGCCTTTCTCATTTGTCGATAGATAGCGCTACTTAATGAGTTACGAGTATGATGAGAGTTACTATGTACAGAGGGTGCTAAACTACCTTGTTTTTGCCTTAGTCTGGTCAATAAGTGACTCATTTGTCATATAAATAACTCTGACTATTTAGTCACAAGTATGATGAGCCTTTTAAACAAACTAATAAGGAAGACATTTGCCATTCTAACGTTAGTCACAATAATCCCTCAAATTTTCACTATTGGATCCTTTAACATAATTTGAGATCTCCGTCTATTGAGTTCTAATAATTATCCAGATATGAAACACATCTCTTGAGAACTTTGATGCTTCTTATTCCATCACACTCAAATTTTATGGTAACAGAGCATTAACTATTTCACTTGTTTGTGCCATCTGTAAGAACTGTTATCAATATGTCCAATATGTTGTGTGAAACTTGTCAATACAATGTGTCTTTTTCACGCATAAATGTTTGTCAACGCACTCATTCAATTTTCATTGCACATGTGGTTTTTTTTTTTTCTTTTTCTCTGTCTCGTTTCCCGCCAATAATCAGATTACATATTCCTAGAGCGCACTCGCCGACATATTACAATCAGGAGCCTCCAACGCCAACCAAAGACAGTAATGTTATTCAGGATAGTCTCCCGACTCCAGACGCCCCACAGAAAACATTCCTATCGAAGGAGAAACCCAACGACTCAAACCTCCAACTGGAGATCGAGAACACGCCGGTGACCCGGTCAAGAAGCGTTAGTACGTCGTCCATTGAACAGACTGCCACGGAAACACAGGCATCGGTTATAATGAGTAACAAAGAAACTGGTGAGTTACTTTTGAACTTGTTACCCTAACCCCCTCTTCAATTTTGATATTCTTTTTGCTATTGCACGTTAGGTTCAATACCCGTTGCTACATTTAATAGTGAGCAAAGTGAGTGGTGGTTAGGAAGGGGATGGGCCCCTTCCGACTGGCATGGCCACTGTTCTTTTGCAAAAGAGATTTTGACCCAGCCTAAGAAGACTTCTTCTAAGGCTATGACCAATTGACTACAAGTCCTACAATGCCGGGGCATAGGCTGTTTTGGCCTGGGGGGTACAATAGAATGAGACTGGAATGCGGAATGAAATCCCTATTCCAATGAAAAACGTAATGGTAATTTTTCGTATTTTAACACACTTTGTCGAAGTAGTTTACTTCCATTTGGGGTTGGGGGACTACGACCATGCAGTACTTATTCATCATACTATCCTCATATTCCAATCCCTTACCATGCTTACATCACCTACCGTATTCTCTTTTCACCTTTCACCTTTCTACAATAAACTTCGCTCTACATTTATTGCATTTGTATTATTATTTGTATTATTATGTATTTGTAGAGATGACACCTGATGTTGAGATGAGTCCGCAGTTGGCAGCAGTCTTCGCTAGCACACCAGAGCTAAAGGATGGACAGCAACAGGTAGCAACAAGTCCCAGAGCTCTCCTCTCAGGCTTCAGGTAAGGAACGCCTAGCTGTGTTCCCATATGCTGCCTATATAAAGCTGCATTCACATCAAATCCGAAACAAAATTCGGACCGCATTTTCGAAGCGCTGAATGCCAGCGTCCGTCTCCATTCTGGCACACTGATTCGATTTTCTAATCGGTTTGGTAGGCATTCCGATCCGAAAATTTGAATTTGGTGTGAATGCACCTTAATAGCAAAGAGTATACCGCAAGAGGTACGACTCTTGTGGTTTAGTTTGGACGCAATCCTATTTCATAAAATATTGCCACAAAGGAACGTGTCCTTCAAAAGACGAGTTTCGAGTGAACTCTCTTTGAATTCTAATAGGGCGCCCCCTATCTCATGGCAGTGCTTTTTTTAAACTTTTCATTGAGTGAATACAAAATGAAGGCAGTTGGACCTTTCGCAATTTTTTACTCCTGGTTAATAGTTGGGAAAAAAATTTTCATGATTTAAACACTGGATTTAAAAACAAATATAACCACCTATCTGCACCTCAACAATCAAGCCTTGTCCAATCAAATTTTAATTGACAAATCATGTCATGTCTGAATATGGTCACATCATGACCATATATTATATTGGCACACCATTAATTAAATACTCCGAAGGTAAAGAGCTGCAAGAATTCACAGAGCATTCAAATTTAAATTTTAGTAATATAACATGCTGTGGTATTGTTTGATATTCCACTTTGAAGTGGCCCTGTGTAATCGACTACTAAAATATATGCCTCCCCCCAAACACTTTCTCACCCCCAGGCCCTGTAACTCGTTATGCCATCAAGACTGCAACTGCACTGGATCTAGTGTGCTTCCAGCTGTTTATCACATTGTCTTCTACTTAATGTGATGGCCTTCTGCCCTAAATCAATATTGTTCCCAGAATAATTTTCTACCCTCAATTACCTCCTTCCTCCCCAGAGTAAATGTAAAATGGAAAATAAATGCTATAGAATGCTTTGCACGATATCTAGTTTATACAATATAAAAGTAAAGAATCTGTTCCAAAATTGAAGATATTTAGGTACATAATGCCTTTGATATATTTCTCAAGTTCCTAAAAAATTTATTAGCGTTTTTTGGTCTTTATTATTGTGTCTTAAATTATACTTTTATATTATTTCAAACATGATTTTCAATATTTTCATAGTGTTCATCATTACCATCATTTTCATCATCATTATCATCATCATCATTATCACCATCATCAACATGATTGTTATCATCATGATCACTATCACTAATTTTTTTCAATATCTTTATTATTATTATTATAAATCATATTCATCATCACTTTCATTTTTATCATCATCATTATCGCCATCATTGTCATGATCACCATCACCGTCACCATAATCATCGCTATCATTATAATTGTTTATCTTTTCCCTTTCTTAATTTGATGTCATCACTTTTTCTCGTATGTTTATCTTCAGCGACATGGATGCCCATAATTCTTTGTTTATGGAATTAGATCAAGACATCATCTCAGAAATAGACGATGGCGCCAACATAACAGGTATAAGCAATGATTACAAATCTCATATCACTTCAAAATCAATGTGCTAGCCAATGACTCTGTGCTTTTAATAAATTAACAAGAGTTTTATATTAGTAACTAACGTTGGGGGTAGTTTTGTGGCACCATATTAAAGGCACTCTTGAGAGGCTATTGCCAAGGCTTAACATCCAAACATTTAACATCATTGATTATCGTGTGAGGCACCATATATCTGACAGCCAATCACATTGGACCTAGTTAGAATTGCTAATGAAAGATAAGAGTGATAATACAATGGTTTGCATTAAACAATGAATCTGTTCTGTGCACTCGGTCTAGAAATCTTATTTTTAACCTTGCATACACTATCTGATTTATGTTTGTCAGATTTAACAGAAAATGGTTAATCAGACTTTGATTAAGTGAATAATTATCTGTCAACAGATATGGAAAGACAAATAATTTGTTTGATGAGATATTTTTTTGACAAAAAAAATTGTTGTATGCCCATATATAGTCATGATGTGCCTAAATATGGTCAGGATGTGATGTCATCATGACCATATTTTGGCATGTCGCATGTTTTTGTCAATAGAATTTGATAGTGAAAGCCCTGTAGACACTATCAAATATTCTTTGACAGACAACTGTTTTATGCCCATATATAGTCATGATGTGCCTATATAATGGTTATGATGTGATATCATCATTACCATATTTAGGCATGTCACATGTTTTTGTCAAATAAAATTTGATAATCTGTACAGGGCTTTAGATAAAGTCTGATCAAATATTTTCTGATGAGTCTGACAGACTATTTCTAGACTTCAGAATCTTGTGTCAGACTTGTGGACCTAATTGTGTGTGTTCTCTTCTCCCTCGTTTTTCCTCATTGGACGCTAGATCCCGCCGAGTTCTCTGGTTTGTACCTATCATGTCTCTATCTGCATGTTTACTAGGGGGCTTTTTTTTTCAGTATATCCACCTAGTTCAAGTAGCCTATTAAAATAATAAATATAATAATTAATAAATTAAGTTAATAATAAAGGGAAAAAAGTGTACAATTATTTTACTAGCTTAAATTTTAAAAATAAATTTCAATATAATAATAAATTAAATTAGTTAAATAAAGTTAAAGTATACAATTTAATTACTAGCTCACATTTCAAAAATCAACTTGAAATATAATAATTTAAAATTATGTTTATTATATAGATATATCCATCCCGTTCATGTAGCCTATTAAAAGTTATTTCCTAATACTTAATAAAATAAATAATTAATGTTAACATTAACTACTTATAGGCCGTTGTTAGGCAGTTTATGACACAAAACCCACCATTTGATAACTTTCAGCATGCCTCTAACAGTCGCCACTTCTTTGCCTGATAATGAATTAGGTTATTGATGATTGAGCATTCCAAATGATCAGCTCTCTACACTCCAAACCTCATAAAAAGACTTGGTTATTGAATGACAGTGGTTTAAAATTATCAGCTTTAAGCTACATTTATACTAGACACTACAACGATATGATCATCGCATCATTTATATTCTTCAACACTGAGTGCATTTTTATTGTGTTGTCGTGTCTAGTGTAAATGTAGCGTTACTTGTATAAATATGATGAAGCAAACTTCAGTGACAAAATAAGTTTTATCAAAAGTTTATATTGATTTGAATTACTATTAATTCTAGAAGTCGGCACATATAAAGATTGAGATATAATTTACATTTGGCAGGTAGCCAAAATTTGAAGTTACATTTTGAAGTGTTAGTGTACAGCACACTTCACACATTTAAGGCATACATTAATTTAATGTTTTCGATGAAGAAATGTATTAAAATGGTTCTTTATTGTCGCATTTATATTCAGCATACTAGAAATTTGTCTTTCTAGAGACGATTACAATAAAATAATGGTATAAATTGCTATTCAAATTGCCTTTCTTGTCAAATGTGTTTTCATTATATTTGTCATTGTACGTGCAGGGATATGGAGTCACCTTGGAATTTGTGTATTAATAGTCAAAAACTAAAATTTAATATTTAGTAAATAGCTGTAAGAACTATCTCTAAATAACAAATATAACTCTAATGATTTAAACATAATTAGACAAGTAAAATTCTGAAAGTTGGTATGACCGCATTTTACACCTAAAGCATATATTAACTAAATGTTTTTGATTAGGAAATATAGAGAGGATAAATTTACAAGCAAATCCTTTTGAATTGTGTAATAAAATCCTGTACTTGTTAAATTGTTCACCTACAAGATTTATTTTTTTATTTTCAATTTTAGTTTGACATGCATGAAAATGGGGTCATGTTGCATTCGAGAATTTATTGTTGAAAATTGAATTGATTTCTGATTTTAAGAGCTACATGAACTGAATGAAAAAAAAATAAAGTGTAGTAAATTGAATTTTTTAAATCTTATTTTAAAAAAGGCTACATGAACTGGTTGTAAATTGTCATCATTGACAGATAGTCATTGTGACTCCTTTTGGTAATATTACCTTAGTTAATGGGTCACATTCCTTTATTTGATTGCATGAAAGTTGGTTAGTCGGTCAGTGGTGCAATGCCTTTTGAAAATTCTATTAAACTGACAAAATCAGATTAATAGTACCATTCATTTTCAACCTTTATTTGCATTTGTGTTCCAGTTTAAATCTTAAAGTTTAAGCTATTTATGCTTTTTCTTAAGAATTACGTACCGGTACATTACAAATTTTAAAACAATTTATACTTGATACTTTGGTATATTATCCCCGAATGTTTGTAAATTATAATTATGAAAATGTATTACCTAGTCAATGTGTCATCAGTTTTTCACTAGATATAATCATTTACCTTCCAGGTCCTATTAATCACTCTCAACATTTGGCAATGATCCTGTCTACCCATAATCCTCATGTACTTTACCCAGAATCCTCTTGCACAAAATGCATCTATCATGTTCCAGTCTCCCTCTCATGTTCATTGTTTCATCACTTTAAAAAATGTGCAATGTTTTTACTTAAATTAATGCAAGTTGGTATACTGTAGTTATAGTCATTTTATTACAGGGTATATTGTATTCTATGATCTCCAGAAGTTTGAGATATATTTATTTATTTATTTATTCATGTGGCATCATAACCCGGGAGTCGCAAAAGCAGGAAACCAACTGTCGCCTAAATGATGCCTGATGTATTTATTTATATATTTCCACCTTAAACCTGGGTTAAGTAAAGCTAGGCATACTTTCAGATTTTTGTCTGACACACTCAAATGATGTTTGGTCAGACTTTGTCTATAGTGTAATGTTATATCGGATATAACTGATCAAACAAATTAATTTTTTTAATACTTTGTTGGAAGTTTGAAATAAACCTTTTCCTTAAGCCCCGCCCCTTGGATATTGTTGCTAAGGTCCCACAAAACAATTGCGTAAATGTAGGTAAACACCTGTGTTTTTAGGACAACACATGTTTATTGGACAAGCACATATTACTAAGACTGTTCTGATTGGTCAGTTGTTAAGTTTAATTGACACTCTGGAAATGTTCATTGTTTTGTTTTATTAGATCAAAGTCTGTTTAAATATTATCTTTTGAGTTTGACAGATATCTGACGATAGTGTATGCATGGCTTTAAGGTGCAAGTTCTTTCTGATTTCTGACACAGTAAGGTCAGCACAGACTAAGAAACAGTCACTTATAAATTTAAAGAAATGAATTGAATGACATTGTCTGTGACAACAGCAAATTACTTAACTTTAAAAATAATACAAACAAGTCCTCTAGGTGAAATGCAATATAATATATTTGTTTGGACGTGTAGCTCAATTGCTGAAGAGATTTCAGGCATATCACCTAATACCACAAACATTACTTAACTTCTTGGTAATTTACAACCATCTTTGTCAAATTCAAAGAGCGCATAGAAGCTTTTTAATACGATGCGCTATACAAATTCAACTATTATTATTATTATCCGATTATCCCATACAGGTTAAATCCAATGTAAAGGAAATTGTTGGCTGAAAGCTCATTTGTTGGAGAGATTTTAGGCATACTGCCTATAACCTCAACAAATGATTGGACTTTTAAATCTAAACACATGCCCTATAGCAGAGTATACCAACTTTTCCCTCTATTTTGGTTGGATTTACAATCAAAAGGTAATCAAAAGCTCTGGGGCTAGAATGTGATTGGGAAATAAATTAGTTTCCTTAAAAACTGTGATTTACAGTATGTCTGTGTATCATCTATCTGTTGGGTACCTGAAATATAGTACAATATTTCTGTTTGTACTGTGCACCATAAAATCAGGCCCATAGGAGTTGGGGTATATGTAGATTGGTTTTTTTCACAACTCTAAATATTTTATATAATGAATTGTTGTATATATTCTTACGACAGATAACAGTGATATTTCATCATATGGTAAAATAGCCCATTCTTTTTTTTTACCTTTTTATTTTTGAAACTACACTTCAAATTTGGTATTCTGTTTAGGGTTTTCAATCGGGTTTTTCCATCTGCTTATTTATTACCATGATCAGTGCTGGAGATTCATGCCCTTCTGATAGGAATTTGTGACAAGGAACAAGACTGCTTCTATCTATATTAATAAAATAGCTTTAATTAATATTTAATACCATATTTTCAAATATATTCTGAGATTTTGGCTCTTTTTAATATGTTCGCTTGGTCAGTAACCTGTGAACCCATGAGTATCTGCTTGAGGTCTAATATTTTCTCATTTTATTTGTATTAAATTTTATATCCGTTATAATAAAAAAAAAATCATGTGGTACTTTTTGGAGTAGAAAGCATTGTATATGTGCCAAAAAGTAATAATTACGTTTTTTCCCCTTTTCAATGCTAAGCCATATCCACTTAGACTCATTCTCTTTTAATTATTTTATTTTAAAAAGAAGCATGCTCATATTGTGTCCCTTTGCAGGAATCTCCATTACTGGTCTTGCTCTACTATATTTTAAATTATTGTTTGGGACAGATTTGTCAAGCTTTTGCTATTGAAGCTTTAAAGTTGTGTTTACATTATGAGATAGTTTGTCTGTCAGACTCCACAAAGTTTGATCAAATGTCTGCTTAAACTTTTCTGGCCTATATTATTATTACATCCAAATATGATAGTGTGGATAGAGCTTAATAATTAACAGTTGGACAATGCTCTGTTGTATCCCATTAGAAAAGTTTGATCAAACATTGTTAAGTTTTGCAGACAAATATCTGGTAGTGTGAATTCAGCTTTGCTTCTTGTGTGAATGAGTGAATGCCTGTATCTAATATTTGGTGATTTTTTCCATCTAAATATTCTCTTCCTATCTACTTCTCTTGTCACTTGTTAGTCAAGTCACCTGACAACTTTTATGGTAAGCTATTGGTCAATGGTTGCATGATGTGTAGTACAGTAAATTCCACTTAACTGTCTTTTATCCCATTTGTTCTTTGTTAAATTTGTTAGTGAAGTCACCTGACAAGTTATGTGGTAAGAAACTCATCCGTTGCATGTTGCTGTTGGTTTCTGTATGAATATATTACAAATGTTATGTGTAGAATAGATTCTTCTCTTTGCAATTACATTGATGAATTTAATAAATGTAAGAATTTTGAACTTTTTTTCACACTTCAAATTCTATGTGACAAGTAGATGTGATTTGCCCATATATGGTGATGATAATGTCATATCATATCCATATGTTTATTTATCACATTACATTTGATAGTGTGTGATAGGGTTTAAGATGTGTAAAGATTTAATTCCTTCATGAAATATGGCAGATTAAGAGGTGGCAAAGGGCAGGTTACATTACTTCTTTATGACCATTATCAGGTAAAGATGTCTCTTAACTTGTATTATTTAATTTATTCTGTAACCTGGAGACACTTTCTGTATTCGTGTACTGTTTATCAATGTGTTACTCATTAAATATTAGGAAAAAATGAGTATGGAAGATCTACTAAACTTCATTATACAGCAGAGTACCTTTTGCCCAAAAGATACAAAGCATTCTAAATGTCTTTTAGAAGAAAATGGAAAAATTTAGTGACCAGCACTGTTTTCAAGTAGGTCCTGATACAACATAACTGATTACAATAATATTCTCAAATTATGGAAATGGGAAACATATCATCACTTTAAATCAATGAAAATTCAGTTCAGTAATCTTTATTCAAATATAAACAGTGCACAAGATAACACTCAAAATAGTAGAGTACCATTGGGTGCAGAACATCAACTGATGTACAAAAGAATCGAGAAATATTTTGCAACTTCACATATAACTCTGTGTTATGCAAAATAATTTTTTTTTTATGTACACATGTATTATTCAATACCTGTTTTACAATACAGGGATTCTGTATGACGTAAACCTCTGTATAATCTGAAACTATGGAAACTTAGAGAGATAAACAAGGATATGTTAGAACGCATCCTCATGAGGCCTGAACGCATTATTAGGTACTTTTCACTGCTGATTTTATCTTCAACGAATGACGTCAACATATTACATAATACTGGGCCTAAAGGGAATCATTAACATGCTTGTTAAATTGTTATTTGACGGCCTATAAACGTAATCGGAAAACAAAATATTGGCTAGGAATAGACACCGCTAAAATCCATATTTGAAAGTAGAGACGGCAGTAAAAAATATTTTATAGGGTCGTACACATCTCTAATTTCTTTAACTTAAGTTGATCAGATTTTCAATGTATTACAAAAAATACTTTATACAGTACTACTGTAAGTGTGTCAAGAATTTCTGTTCTATGTCTTTGCAGAAGTGAAAGGAAAAGTTTTATATCTATGTTGAATTCCAACAATATAAATTTACAAATTATCTAAATTTTAAAATAAAAATTCAAGTATGTTATAAAATGTTCTCCCTTTAGTACATTACTGAGATAATGTTGATAAACAGATATTAATTTAAAATGCAAGTGCCTTTGTTTGTGTATGTATATAATTTTGTTTAAATTGAGAGAAAATTTATATGACAGACTAGGTATGACAGAGGGAAGATGTAATTAAGGCAGAAAAGCTATTGAAGCAGACTACCTCAAGCCGAATTCAAATTTTGTTTAAGATTTCCTTCCTTTGGGTAAAATATAATATTTAGTACAAAATTTGTTAAGAAAATTGCATGATGTTTCCATTTTTGGATCCTTGCCTGTTGTATTTGTTCTTATGCACATTTCTGTCTGATGGATGTCGTTCCTTTCTCTGTCTGTACTCCCTCTTCCGTGATGATTTTGTGCTATATGCATGTATGTGCAGTCAATTTTATGTGTGCATGATAATTGTGTAGTTTGCAGAGGAATGATGCATATATGTTGGAATTTCTTGGAAGAAAGTAAATGAAATAATTATGCAAATGGAAATGACAGTAATATTTGACATTTTGCAGGTATGTTATACATTAAATATTAAACTATATTGACAGAATCAGAACTAAGAAACAGAAACGAGGTCTTAATCTTAAAAAAGAAAGAAATACTCTTTTCGGCAGTGATATGTATGATGAACGGAAATAGTGTGTTAATTGTATTGAAAAATTCAAAGGAAATAATTTGTGTTAAGTTGATCAGAAATAGTTATTTTTTCGTACTTGAAGTTTTAATGGTACTCTACCATTTTGGTGGATTCAAGCTTGTCAAATCTTTGAACACGGAAAAAAAAAAAAAAAATTTAATGCTCGAGTTAGGAAATTTGAAGTCCCATCAATATAATAATATATTAAAATAGATAACAATCTAATTTTCTTAAGACATTCGTACTTAACAATTAATAACCAGATGTATAACTTAGATAACCCTCCAACCAAACAAAATGGCTTATTTCCATTGGGGTGTAGGGGGTGTGGGGACATACAATGATATCGGTTATCAAAGCTATTAGTTGCAATAGCCTACAATTGTAAAAACCTGTAAACTGGATGATATTACATTCATTCAGTGAAGCATAGTAAACATTCTATGGTAATCAATAAACATGTTTGTAACCAAATAACTATAAACAAACATTCGGAAGTCCACTATTAGTTATGCTAGTTATTTGATTACTTGGTTTATTTGTACCTCAGAAGTTAAGCAATTATGTAAATCAATATAAAAAAAGCATAAATGATAACTATTCTAAAGTACTTATATAGTATATCAAAGTACTAAAATGTGATATCCAGTATAAAAACATACAAAATATAAGAAAATATAAATATTGATATTCTTTTTTACTCATAATTTCTTAAAATAATTGTTTAGTACATCCATAAATTTAAAAAAAATATATTTTAATTATTACAATACTATTAAGCTTTTTTATTTTATACAAATTTAATATATATTATATAGGACAGGGGAAAACAAGTGGACACAAAAAAAAAGAGAAGAAAAAATAGCCCATGAAATTTAGTCCCAAAATGGCATATATTTTCAACAGTCATTAACTGAGAATAAATATTTCTGAAGAAAAAGAAATAGAGTTGAAGGCAACAATTAATGCCATCTGGATTATAAAGTCTATTACAATAATGTCAGGGCTATTCATCTGGATCATAAGAGTCTATCAGCATGACATCACATTCTCTGATACGATCAAACTCACTGACAGCCTTAGAACGCACGGTATCGTTGTACAGATGAATGAAGCCCTTGAAAAATGAGTGGCTGAGTGATTTATAAATTATAAACCAGGCTTAATATGTAGTGGGAGATTAATGTGTATAGGGGTTAACCTGGAAAATTTATATTTTTAAAATGTTTTATTTTATGCTTGAATTAGAAATACTGACTGTGAATGTGTATGGTAAGATACACACTGATAAACAATTTAATAATTTATTTATTTTTAAAATGCTTTATTTTATGTTATACTGAATTACAGAATATTGACTAAATGTGTGTTAAGATAGACATATATATATACTGTCTCTTATACACATCTAGATGTGTATAAGAGACAGTTATGATGAGAATAAAAATAAATGAGTTTTGGCAAATTTATAATAATTAAATTTCATATTTATTTTAATTACAATAATATTCATTTTGGTACGATTTCTACTATGGTTTTGTGATGACTTGGACTTGGACTAAATTTGAATATTCTAATTTTACATTTGAATAAAATTTAAATAAATAAATAGAAGCCAAAGAAAAGCACCTGTCGTGAATACTTGGAGTTGGGGTAGCGCCATTTTGCAGGCTTTGGCCTTTTTTCTGGATCACCCAATCCTGAATAATATTTTCCTTTTCTTACGTTTCATTTATATTAGGTAGCATTTATAACCTAGTTGGTACCAGCCCCTTTGCCAATTAACCTTTACTACTGTCAGCGATGATTGATAACAATACACCTTTATTGATGATAGTGTAAAAAATTTCTGTTTAAACTTGCGGTTTTTATTATTTTTGGATCAGTAATTATTGAAACATAATACTGAGTTAATGAAAAATTGTCGCTTCAGGGATCATCTTCATAAATTGTGTATCCGCGTAGATTCAAGTGACATTATTAGATATCTACAGCTTCATTAGGTATACGTTGTAACATGTTTTCAATTTAATCATGACACAAATTGCCAATGTGGCTCATTTTGTGCTTGCATTCTGAGTGAATTATTAATGGAATCCAATGTGCGGTTATGAATAGCAACTAAGTTCCATCTTGGTTGGTTTGGTCTAAATGCTTGACATTAAAGAATTATGATAATATTGAGAAACTGGTATATTTGGTGGTAATTATGTGAAGAACTTCAAAATGGGTAAAAGCATATGGACGTGTAAATACTGTAAATATAAATTCTCAATCATTAATCCATACATGAATCACACATTCCTAGTGGACATTACTACAAACATCTACATTACTACACACATCTACATCCCTATGCTTGTGAACAACACAACGTACATCTACATCCCTACGCTCATCTACCTCACTGCACTTGTCTACACCCCTATATACACTAAATCTCTATGCGCATCAACATCCCTACGCTTGTCTACACTCCTATATACATATAAATCTCTACGCGCATTGATGTCCCTATGCTTGCTTGTTTACTCCCCTATATACATCTTCATATGCATCTCTATGTACATCTAAATCCCTACACCCACAATATTCATCCCAACTTAACCACAAAAACACATCTCTACACGCATGTAAATCCACTGTGGATTATATACATCCTACATATTTCTATGGAAATCTGATATTTGCCCATATATGGGTGTTATTTGCCCATATATGCATGTGATTTGCCCATATATTGGTGCAATTTCCCACATATGGGTATTTGTCACAAATCTGTATTGTGTGAACACTGCTTTACAGTGAGATCTTAAGAATGTGTATTAAGTTGCCATACAACTGTTTTAACCATTTTTTTTTATTACTTTTTTTAGGAATGGGCAAAGAAGTTGAGAACTTGATTACAGAGAATTCAGAACTGAGAGCTACAAAGTTAGTTGTTATTTTCAATGTTACGAAGCGATAGCCCTTTTTGTTTACGTGTCTAATCTGGCCTTCATTCATCCAGATGAAAATGAAACATCTCTTTTCCTAAATTTTCAGGAATGCCTTGAATATTGTGAAAGATGATTTGATCCTAAAAGTTGATGAGTTAACTGCCGAGTCAGAACTTTTGCGTCAAGATGTGGCCGCAGTCACCCACAAGAAGGAGGAACTGCTCGATAGGATACAAGAGCTAGAAAGCGAGTTGAAAAAGTAAGTACAATCTGAATGCGCAGTAAAGTCTACAAGTTGCAGTACTTAGAAGTAGGAAGTGTATAGTTTACAAACATACATATAATAGGCAGTTTTCGCCACACGACGTTAACCTTAACGTTAACGGATGACGTCATAATTTATTCACCTTGCGTTGCGGAGTACGTAAATTTCTGGATTTTACGTGCTCAACGTATGTTAGTCATGGGTTTGCACATGCGTATTTCGATTTGTTTAAAAAATGGGGCGGAGCTATCGCGTTGCATGTTGGGTACTAACGTTAAAGTTAAGATCAACGTCGTGCGGCGAAAACTACCTAATAATGTCGCATGTATGTGAGTATAGTATGACATCATTCTTGCCTATATATAGGCAATAATATGAATTTGTCATATACGCAGAGTATTTTTTGCGTGTAAAACCATCCGCGTATCAAAACAACCCCCATATTTGAGAAGATTTTTGGAAGGTTTATATGTCGGCTATATAAGGTGACCCCCGACCCTTGTTTCACCTTTGAACTTCATATTTTTTTGCTGCTCTTTATGGTCTTGATACTGCATCTAGCTGGCTAAAAATGGAGTCAAATGTGCAGATAATCTTCAAATAATACCATTTTATGGGCTTAATTTAATGTTCATCAAAATCTTATTTCCCCGCATTTAAAAATGCGTTTATTCATATACTGTACTAACTGTTAGTAGCTTAATTTTAGTAGTAAATTCACTTGTTATTGACGAATTGCCCATAAGGCTAACATGATTTAAAAGTAAGAATTTGTATGTGTTGCATGTATAAAACAATCCCCTGTTTTTTGATAGTCATAAATGTTGCTATTTTAAGCCTCGTTTTATACAAAATATTGATGGTATGCTTGATGAACTTGATGGTATGCTTGTAAATCTATTCAAAATTATATCATATTTAACCATTAATCTGATTCGTAATTATTCAATATTTTATCTGCATCACACTGCATTCTACATGTATTTTAATGTACATGTATATTGGTTATTTAAATGTTAAATATTATACATTTGTACTGCGCAAAATACTAGGGTCTCTATGCACAAAAGCAAGTAAACAGATGTAATTCAAAAAATAAGTGAAGAACTCCAAACCAGCACCCAAATCGCAGTATGGGGATACGCCCTCGTCGCTGAGCAGTGATCTGTCAAAATGGACTCTGTCCAGCACCAGTTGAATTTCGGCCATCTGAGGACTCCTTCGCCTCCTATTCTGAAAGAACTATAAGAAAGATTATATGATTTGAAGGATGATTTTTTGATGAATAATCAATTGTTCTGTTCTATTTTTAGAATGAAAGAGCAACATCATGACTTGAACAGACTCCCAGATGGCGAGGAGGAGGAAGTCCCGATGGCCCAGCGTAAACGCTTCACACGTGTCGAAATGGCACGCGTCTTGATGGAACGCAATCAATACAAAGAACGCCTCATGGAACTCCAAGAAGCTGTTAGATGGACGGAAATGATCAGGTAATTAAGATGTAGATCTGAAGGTAGATTGTATATTTTTATTTTATTTGTATTCAGCTTTGGGCACAAGGGCCAAAGATATGCCAAACTGTGAACTTATTCATTCTTCAAAGTGGAAACTCATTCAGAAGACCTAGTCATGCTAGAAGAGTGTATAAATTAAATGATCCTGGGTAGGGAGTGCCTTTCCCAAAGCTAAATGCATAGTGAATATTCAAACTGCTGACCTCCAGCTCAAACTGCAAGTACCTTTTCAATCACTCCCACTCTAGGACTGATAACTTTTGGATTGTGTTAATGTAACTTTCTTGCCTACATTTCTGTAAGACCAATAAAAGGTTTGATTTGCCCAATTACGTACACAGACGCGAAAAATAGACAGTAAACAAGTGTACATAGCACGTTGGAGGGATGGCTGTTTCTAGAGTACTCACCCAAAGTGATGTACTTCATATAACTCTATGTATTATTCAAATACAAACATGCTACATCAATTCAACAGTCTGGATAACATAGAGTACTTACTGTAAGCAATTTCAAATGTATCTGTTGTGATGTTGTCTTTAACAACATTCAGAGGAGATCTAATTGAAACACTTTAGATGAAATATATCAATAAATTATTTATGTCTACATTCTCTTTCAGAGCATCTAGAGAACACCCTTCATTTGAGAAGAAAAACAAATCAAGCGTCTGGAAATTGTAAGTAGTGGCCTGTCCAAATCATGCAATATTCTATGACAAAAATCTGTGTTTATTTATTTATTTTATTTTTTATATCAACAATATTTTATGAGGGTGTTCCATCCAGCCAGAGCTGATCAATTGGGATCCTCAGTACATATAACTAGAACAGAAGTATAACAATTAAACTAGATTCTTTAACATAAACAAAGTAATTAAATTAAAGCAGGGCAAAAAATATACATATTCTTATGCTAATTAATCAGTTTAACAATTTGCGACAGTATGCTGGTTTTGTGAAGGCAGCCCCATGTATGGTCATGATGTGATGTCATCATGACCATATTTAGGCATGTCACAAGTTTTTGTCCAGTAAAATTTGATAGTTTTGACTGGGCTTTAGCATATTTTTGTATTGACAGAAAGTTTTATGAATGTTTGAGAAAAACATATTGTTCTCATCATGATTTTAACCAAGTCATTTCAAGAACAATTTTGTTGCACTATTAACTTGTACTTATGAGGTCAGGCTGGTGAACTTTTACTCCTTTTTTTCCATATTTTTGACATGCTATTCTCAAATTATTACATATTTTGAGGTGTTCTGTGACAACATTTAGTTTATGGAGGGTCATAGTAGACATATAGTTCTTAATATTGAATAGAAGAGAAGAGCCATTTCGACCTGAAGTAGATGTTGTACTTGTATTGTACAGTAAGACATACAAATACATGTATACATATACTTGCTGTATTTCACACATTTGCACCCTTACTTGAGTTATGGATCTTTCGAGCTTGATGGGCAAATATACAACTAAACCATCAAAGGCATTTTTGGCTTCAATAATGTCCTGAGATTTTGCAAGAGCAATTCGCAATCGCTGGCAGTTGAGACTCTTACTGAACAGATGGAAGCCATGAGGATAGGTCCAGAAGTGCTGAGGCCATGGAAGGCAGGCCAGAAGACCGAGTTACGTGGCTTTGCAAACCAGACCTGAGCACATTATAGACAAACAAGGTAAAACTGGTGCAGTGTGCAACCTGGTTTCCACCAACTTCAGGTTGAGGACAGTAAGATGTGGATTTTAATCCACAACTTGATAGCCAGCGATTGCAAATTGCTCTTGCAAAATCTCAGAAAGGACATTATTGAAGCCACAAATGCCTTTGATGTTATAGTTGTGTATTTGCCCATCAAGCTCGAAAGAATATAACTCAAGTAAGGGTGAAAATGTGTGAAATACAACAAGCCTCCCACTATTTCTTTCATCTATAC